ATTCAAGTTGCGTCCAACCAACCGATATGGAAGTCATTAGGTTTTTTTTTAAGGGGGGAAAGTCATCGAATGACTGCTGCCGCCTGGGTGAGGCGGGAGGGAGTGTCAGACTCTTACTGACTAAAAACCACCCCGTTCCTTCTCCTGCACGTCGAGTCGGAGCCCCGGTTACCCGTTAGGTTCTCCGCGACATATTAGAAAGTCATTATGGTAGATCTATGTCCAGCGGCAGTGACGTCTTGAGAATGACATGAAAATAATGATGGTAAACCGGGCCTTCTAAAAGCATAATGAAAATTTCGACCATAAACTAAGAACGCACACAGCATAATTAGCGATTAATTAAGCCAACTACATGAGCCCCTTCGCCGACACTTTACACCGACAGTACATCGTTCACCGACAGCTTACACCGACAACTTACGCCGACATGCAGTTAATGCGGACAGATTTAGCTGCAGTCTTGCATGTACGAGAATTGCGAGGCCGCGTAGAAAATTATACTTACAATGGTAAAAAGCAGGCCTTTATAATAAAATGCATGTCTCGGTGTCTGTTAAAATGTTCTTGGCTGAAAATAGGAGGACCTTGTCACTTTAAAGGCCAAGACTTGCGTGGTTAGCGTTATCTGACTGAGGTATAACCTTATTTTCTAAGTAGATACTTTTATTTGAAGATATTATTTTGTATCTAAGACAGTTTTGTATGTCTTTTATTGGAGGGATTTTACCCTTCAATAAAAATTAAAACCGTCATTAAAAAAACATACAAAACCGTCACCCGGGCGGCTCATTGGAATATTTTCATCTTCCAATCTGGGTAAGGCGCGAGGGAGTGTCAGACTCTTACTGACTAAAAACCACCCCGTTCCTACTCCTGCACTTCGAACCGGAGCCCCGGCAACCCGTTAAGTCTTCCGCAGCTCCGTATCGGCATCAGCCCTGTTGGGCCCCATCTGTGGTGGTCTGATGGCTAAAACAGTTTTATATCTGCGTCTATATTCTTGCATGAGTAAAATTATTGTTTTTGTTTTTTTACAATTAAGGGGTTTATGTTTTAAGCGTCGAAGGTTATGTAAATCCAAATTAACGAAATATTCTTTCTAAAATATCTACATTCAAGCTCAACTTTTAAAGCCACTAATATGCTTGTATAAAGAAATTTGAACTTAAGAGCTCACATGTAAATATTGCGTCAGCCATTTTAAATTCTGCGGTTTTAATCACCTCCATTATAGGTGCTGAATATAAAATGACGTTGCTTCTAACAAATAGGGGTTAATAACCTCTTTTTGAGAGTAAAATTTTCATTGAATTAATAGGATAACATGTTTTTTTTAATTTTGATTGAGTAGACCGTGATTATGAATGGGTGACATCTTAAATTATCTGTTTATTTTGTGTCTTTATGAATAGATTAGTTTGCTAGCTAAGTTAGTAAATTCAATATTATTATACAAAAACTTGACAGTTTTTGTGCAAAAATAATAAGGCCATTAGTGTACAGTTTTGTCCCCACATTCAAAGCGTTAGAAAAACCTTTTCAAGTGACGATCCCATCATTCCCTCACAGACTAATACTTCAAAGAAACAAACTTAAAAATGCACTTTAAATAAGAGCAGCAAAGAAATAAAATAGAATGGCAAAAAACTTGAAAGATTTACTGGAACTATCTCTAAATAAACTCTTCTTGTCCACGATTTACAACTTGAAACTTTGGCTGTTCAACAAGAGGGGTACATCCTTGCTTTTCATTAGACCACGCAACTACATAAAGAAGGGGATGGCTTTCTATGTGAGAAAGGGATGGATGTAATTTAATTTAATGTGTTAGTGTGCTCAAGATGATTTATGCATGTGATGTAACTGTGAGCTGGATTGTATGGTGTAAAAATTTGTCATATAATATAATATTAGGAGAAATGAATTTGTAAAGGAGAACATGACCAAAATGTATGAAATGAGATGGGGAAATATATTTAATACTAATCTAGACTAAAGTTTCAAAGATCGTGGTCTATTAAAAACTTAATCTTTGTCATAGTATAGTGTTAGTTACGTTACAAATGTGGATGCCCCTCCACGCCGTTATTTAATTGTATTAGAGTTTTGTAGTAATAATAATATGTTTATTTCTACTACCACTAGTTCAAGTCATTTGTTATTAACTCTATGGACCTCATCATCATCATCATCAACAGCCTATATGTCTACTGCTGAGCAAAGCCTCTTCTTACACGGAGAAAGTTTGAGCATTAATCACCACGCTTGCTCAATGCTAACAAACTTAAAATTAGAAATTATAAGCCCAGGTATCCTTACGATATTTTCCTTCACCGCTTGTCAGTGGTGTTTAGATAATCTTAGAAAGTACATAAAACTCGGAAAAAGACACATTGGTATTTACAGTCGGTAGGTTTCGACTCGCACCCTCATGCATGAGAGCTGGGCGTCTTAAACCTCCGGGTCACCACGACACACGACACTCAAAGTTACATTAGTATAATTAACTACTGTAAGTGCGACTGCCGGGCTAGGGGTCTCGGGTTCAACTACCGGGTCGGGCAAAATATTACTGGGTTTTTTAAAAAATCTCAGTAGTAGCACGGAGTCTGGAATTGTGCCGGGTATATGGCAATAGGCTCATCCCCTATTACATGGGACTCATAACATAACTAGTGAATAGTGGGTGTTACATTGTACAGTGGCATAATGTGCACCTCTGCATACCACTTCGGGGATAAAAGACGTGATGTTATATAAATTATTATTATTATAGTGAGGGTATATTGTGCAATATTATTTGGTTTTGTTATTTCAAGCATCGAAGTACAACAAAAAGTATCGCCAAGAAAAACGACAAATTGCAGAAGCTCGTTGTACATTTCTGTCTCAAATAAATAAGCCAATAAAAAGTTTCCGTTGAGCACTTTTTAACAGAGGGAATGTTATATTCTCAAAAATAAACATCGTCATTCCAGTATGTCTTCTGTAAAACGAGGCTTTGTAAAATGGACTCTGTGTCTTAATGGGGTAGGTTTACATTGCAATATTGAACTATGTCCTCGGATGAGAAAGGTAATATTGTTATAATTTACCATTTCGTGAAAGGTAATCCTGCATTTTGTTCTCATCAAGTTTCCTTTTCTATTTTTGAGGGTATGCGAACAATTTAAATGAAAGATTTGGGAATGCCTCTGATGTAGCTTATTCAGATTAATAAACTACGTTTTGAAGAGTATTTAATATCGTTCTTTTAACACGAGGAAGCTGTATTATAATTTGAATAGCGAAGCGAAGAATTGTATACAATTCTAGTGACATAAAGTGAAACTCATAAGGATTATGAATATTTTGTACACCTCGATGTCCTTATATTACATTACTTACTACTG